GGCGCCCCCCCCCCCCCCCCCCCCCCCCAGCTGAAGGGGGTCTGGGCAGTGCTGGGGGGCTCACTCTCACCCCAGTGCTGTAGGTCCTTGCACCTCCATGGGGGTGAGCAGTCCTACCAAATCGCACCTGGGCTGTAGCTGCTCCCTGAGTTGCGTGGGACCCAGGTGTCTCCAGCCCATGGCCCAGGAACGACACATTTGTCCCCGAGTTGCTCGTGGTTCTGTCAGTGCAATGCTGGGGGCTGGGGCACCAGGGATCTCTGTCAGGCTGCAGCGTGGGCAAGCCTGTCAGGGGCTGCGGCAGGGCTGTGGCTGAAGGCTGCAGCAACATGGGGCATCTCTTGTCTGCATCTGTCAGCAGCTGGGTTGGCTGTCGTTGCCTCTGGGGCTCAGGGCACAGGAGCCCGGAGCAGGAAATAATAAAGGTCTCTTCTCATACCTGTAGTGGCCGTGTTGGTCGTCACCTCCACGGGCAGGGAGCTGCCAGACCTGCGTGGGAGGTGCTCGGCTCTGCTGGGCTGGCAAGGAGGCACTGAGCGTGTCCTGGAGATGCACGGCCCCCACCTTGTATGCAGTGGGGAGCTGTGGTGTGCCCTGGGCATGCGCTACCCCTGTCCTGTGGGACATAGCAGCCAGTCCATGTTCAGGCCTGGCTGTGGGCGTGGGGCCCCTTTCCCATGCAGCCCCTGCCCGTGGCCCTGCCTGGGAGCTTCCTGCCTCTTGCGGTTGTCTTCAGCTCAGTGCTGCATAAGCAGCAGCTTTGGCACTGGTGCTTGCAGCAGGCATGCATGTCATGAGTTACCACGGTGCGGGCACCGTTGCTAGGGGCGTTTAGCACCCGGCTGCTGACTTTGTGGAGCCTCCTCCCACGTGTATTTTAAGAGTCTCCCTGGGGTCCTGCGGTAGCAGAATGTGCAGGGAGGAAAGGCTCTGATAGAGCAGCACCAAGCTCGAGGTGCCTCAGCCCCTGCAGCAAGCTGCATGGGGGTTCTGGGATGGCTCTGGGCAGCTTGAAGGGGCTTGGGAAGCTGGTGTCATCCTGGGGAGCTGCATGCAGCCAAGGAGGTTGTGCATAGCATAAGCATGGCTGCCATGGCCCAAGGCTGCCATGGCGAAGCTGCAGGCATCTGTGATGCACGGCTGCAGGGTGGGGGCTGCCTGCTGGCTGCCCAGCCTGAATCTGTCCTCTGCTTGCGTCCGGAGTCATCGGGGTCTCGTCACAGGCTTGTGGGGAGCAGATGTGTGAGTCCTAGCCACACTCCTCAGCCCTCTCTGCCTGGCCTGGCAGCCATCACTGCAGTCTGGTGGTGACATCCATGCGCAGCAAGATCTGCAATTGGTAGAGCAGGCGGGAACCACACCTAGGCACCAAGGAGCCCGTGGGGAGGCAGGGGAGGTGGTTCGCAGCATGTGCTGGGGTCCTGCAGGCTCCCCCTTGAGCCCTTCTGCCTGCGCAAGCCCCATGCTGCCACAGCTCGCTAATGGGCTGGGCTGTGGAGCTGAGCACAGAGAGCTCTGCCTTTCTCCGTGGATTTGTCATGCTCCTCAGGAGGCCTTGGGGTGCTGGCATGCCCAGGTGCTCTGAATGGGCTACACCGTGCACCTGGGGCTGCCACGCAGGGGGTCATGTCAGGGCTGCTGCGGTGCCCATGCCACACAGGGTGCTTGTGACGCAACCACCGTGAGGAGCACAGCAGCTCCCACCTCTACCGGGCATCGCGCTTAGCTCAGGGCCCCAGTGCCTAGCCGGAGCTGGCATGGGCATGAGCCTGGCACGTTCTGGGATGTCTTCACAGTGGGGTGTGGGCACTGGTCTTGCTGGCAGCCCAGGAGATAGACTGGGTAAGCAGAACAACACCCTGTCACGATTACTGCCTGGGCAGGGAAAGGTCATGTTATCACAGCTCCTTTGCTGCCAGGGGCTTGGCCAGGCCCTGCCTGTGCAGGTCTGCGGGGCCAGGGCCAGACAGGCTCCTTATCTCTTGCCTCCGGGCGAATCACGTCACTCCGGCTTTGCAGGCCCCAGATAAGGGCACAGTCCTACGCGGAAGTAAATCATGTTTGTTTCCCGCTCTGGGCTGGCGCTGTTCTCCGTGCCAAGCCTGATGGCTCTGGAGAGGGGATGGGAGCAGGGCAAGGAGCTGGGCCCCTTCCTCTTGCTTTGTTCTTTGGGCAGGAGCTGTCTCCGCCCTTGTTCCACACAGCTGTGGCTGTCCCCTGCGTGGCCTCCCTCCCCTGGGTCCAGCCAGCCTCCGGCCCTACCTGACAAGCTCCCTGCTGCTGGAGCAGCCCGGGCCCTGGGCAGAGTTAGGACCTAGCATGCTGCTTTGGCAACAGAGGGGCAGCAAGTGCCCATGTGGGCTTGGGAGCACCCCCACAGCCCCAACTCCAAGTGCTGCCCTGAATCCCACTCGCAGAGCAGGGTCTTGGGGTGCAGCCACCACCGCTCCTCCCTCCCTGTGGAGGCACTAGAGGATGGGCGAGGTGGTGGGCCCTGGGAGGTCCTGGTCCCCACAGTCCAGGTCACCCAGGGGCCGAGAGCTCATCTCTTGAGCTTGGCCTCTGAGCTGGGCACGCGTCCTGAAAAGCCAGGAAGGAGTCCCCAGGCCAGCGGGGCTGGAGCACCAGACAGGGGAGGCAGGGCTGCTTCTACCCTGGCGACTCCCAGCAATTGGGCCGGGCTCACGGGACAGCGCTTGAGGCACGCTGGAGATCCCGAGACTTATCCTGCATCCTGCATGCAACCTGCCCCAGGCCACATGCATCACAGCCTCCTGCCCACACAGGATCTGAATGAGGTTCCCAGCTCCCCCTGTGTCGCAGAGGACAGCTGTGTCACCCGAGGCCGGGCAGGGCAGGCCTGGCCGGGCAGCAGGAGCAATGCCTGCGGAAGCAGGTCAGGCAGGGCCTTCTCCAGGCGAGCAGGAGGGCAGAGGGGCTGTGCCAGGCCCGCCAGGCCCTTGGACAGGGCGGTGCTGGCTAATTCCCTGTTTGTTGCTGAATGCAGGTGGGACGCTGGGAGGACAGGGGCTGTTGGTACCTGCAGCCTGCGTGGGGCCCGGCCCAGCAACTGAGATGGAGTACGTGGTAAGGACAGCCAGGCTGGGCTGTGGTGGAGGGTGCCTGGCTTTGGTGACGGGTCGTCTGCCTTCTCTCACTCCTCTCCTTTCTCTCTGGTGAGGCAAGTGGGTCTGTGACCAGCCGGGCTCCTTTCCACATCCCCGCCGGCCCTTCCTCTCCTCTCTGCCGGATCTGAGCCTCCGCCTGCTTCTTTGGGGCTGTTGTGTGTGTGGCAGTGCCCCAGCACTCTGGTTCTGGGTGCACACAAGGTCTCAGCAATGCTGTGCGCAGCTCTGGGGCATGACTTGGTTGCTGCGCTCCTCATCCTGTACTGTGTCACTTGGGACAGAGCATTGCTGCTCCAGCACCTCCCCAGGACATGACTTGTGCTATGGCCGCCTAGCACATGCTCTGTGTCTCTGGTGTGGATCCTGTCAGGGACATGCCCCTAAATGGCATGGGGTAGTATGAAGATCCCTGCAAAGTGGCAGCGTGCCAAGGCTTGCCTGCCTGGCTCTGGGGGTGGGTGGTGGGTCCCCAGCCAGAGCTTTGACCTGCCCACTGGGGCTCCACGGTTTGGTCCTGCCCTGCTCTTGGCTTGTGCAGAGAGCTCCAGTCAGGGCCACTTGTTGGTGGGTACTGGGGCCACTGGGACAGGACTCCTGTCCCACCCCCTGCTCCATTCACAGCAGCAGGCCTGCAGGGCAGCTCCATGTTCTCTGCCCCAGGTGCCCTCCCAGCTCCCCTCTGAGCGTTTGCTGTGCAGGGCAGCCCCTGGGGCAGGCCTGGCCGGTGGAGCGAGCAGGGAGGCCACATGTACATGCGGGTCCATGTCGTGCTCTCTGCCAAGCTGCTGGCATGTCCCGGAGTTCTGACTTGGCACTCGCATTTCCTAGGAGGACACGGACACCGGACCCTGCCCGATGTTCCATGTGAGCGCCATGGGGGGGGCCTGGCTTCCCCGGGCATGTGAGATTGGCACCCCCACCCCACACCAGCCTGAGGCCCTCCTTGGCACAGGCAGGTGCTAGTGGAGGTAGGGAAGGAGAGCTGCGCCCCCAGAGCAATGGGAGCCAGTGCTCAGGCCATGCTCCTCCAGGCAGAGCCTCCACGCTCCCCTGCCAGCTGCTGCACTAGCCACTGGACTGGGCCTCCTGGGTCTCCACCTGGGGGCAGGGGCCTGGGGCCACCAGTGGCTCTGCTTGAGGTCCTTGC